GGAGTCACAGGTTTAATGCGTAGTGGTGCAGCCAATTTGCAGAAATAAAAGTTAAAGAGCAGATGTGGTGCTCAGGGAGAGGAGAGATGGTGGAGCGGCAAGGGGTGCTGCAGGAGGGTGAAGGAGACCCCACCAGCAGGCTCTAAACCTGGATGAGAAAAGTGAGGAGGGAAAATGCTGGTTTTTTTCTAGTTGGGTTTGAATGTCAATCTTTTGTGGTGGGAGAAAAAAACGTAGTAAATAAATAAAAAAAATCTCATAAGGAAGGAAGAAGAAGAAGAAAATAAATATCTCTCAGCTACTTCTCATTAGTGGAGGAGTATTTACCTGGGTGAATATTTCACCTGTTCACACAGCATTCCCACTGTGGACATGCTGCTTCTGCACAGTTAACAAGCTACCAGCAGGGAGGAATAAGATTGTTTAATTTCTTAGCACACCTTGAATAGCCCCCGGGGCTAACTCACATTTGGGGAAATGAATACACAACCCTGACAAACAGTATTAATAATGCAACACAGGGACTTGTGGGCAGAGCTCTGTGTCCTAGAAACTCCCAAACCACGTACACCATGCCTGAGTCAGCTCTTTACCCTGCCACAGTGATATGTGGCTGAAACCCACCCTGATGAAATACCTTGGGGTCTTGTCTGCTCAAAGCTGATGAAAGGGCACGGGTCTTCAGTCCTGTGTCCAGAGAAGGCAACAGCAAGGTTCATCTGGGGCTTCCCCAGCTGTAGGGATTTGCTCTCTCCCTGCCCACTGGAGCAGCAGATCCATGCCATCTTCCTGGGCAAGAGCAGGACCAGGTTGCCCCAGAACACCTGCCCAAACCTCACCTCACCACAGCAGCAACTTCATCAGCAGCCAAATCAGCTCAGCAGTGCTCTTGGGCTGCATCCCTGCCGGGAGGGGGTTACTGCCCGGCGGGGGCTCCTGCCTCATCTTCCCATTCCCTGTGGCCCTTGTGTCCACTAACAACATCAGTGCAAGGGGAGCAGCACTGGAGGGCATTTCAGCTATACCTGTATGTAGATTTATGTATTTTTTTTCCACTGTTCAAGAAAGGGCCCTGGAGCCACAAGCTGCTCCAGCAGCAATCAAGGGAGAACATGACCCAGCACAGCCTTATTATTCCTGGCTACTTAATTACTGCTCATGATTGGTCTCTAATGAACCTCTTGCATCCATACCTCATGATTCAATAAGGGTTTTCAGGACACTCCTAACTAACGGGCAAATGGAGCCGGTTCCCACCGGGGCCCCATCGCACCTGGGGCCATGGGGATGACATGGTGTAAGGGTGCAATGGGGAGAGCATGTCCTGGGGGCGGGAGGGGAGATGCTGGCGGAGAGAAGCTTTCATGGCCTGGGAGATACAGGCTACAAAATCCTTCCCTGGGCTTACGGAAAGGGAATTTGATTTAAAAAACCCCAAAGACACAGGGGAGGGTGGCTCCCAGGAGTTCCCCGAGAAGGTCTCAGAGCACCCATCTTCCCGGCCAGCCTCCCTGGAGCTGTGCGGGCTGGGGGCTTGCTCGCCTCCCACGTGCGGTTTCTTCAGTTACCACCCATCCCTCCCGGGGCCGTGAACTCCATATGGTACCCAGGCTGCGGGATGGATGTGTGTGTCGTGTGGGAGGCCGATGGCAGGGACAGAAAAAGCTTCAGCCCGCTGCAGTCCTGAGCAGCAGCAGGGAGCAGCAAACGGCACGTGGATCAGGGAGCGCCGGGTTTTTGTTTAACCCTTAATCCCAGTAATTTGCTCTAACACTGTAGTTCAAGCAGACACAGCCACCTGCACAAAGGGTCTGACACCAATTAGTCATTCATGCAAAACAAGAGGGGGTTTGCTTCTCAGTGCAAACAAATTTCTGCGAAGTGTTAGACGAGCAATTACCTTCTTATGGGCCTGTGAGCGGCTTGACCCGGTCCATCGGGTAAATTTAAGGACTTCAGCCTCATAGGGGTTAAACCTCTAATTTAATTGCTAGTTTATCCTCAAACTCCACTTTTTATTTATTACAATCCAAGCAACAGATACAGAAAGAACATAGCGGGAGACCAGCGCTGAAATAGGGGTGGGAGAGAGACCGAAGGAGGCAACTGAGCCGTGTTACTCAAGGAGGGAAGGATGTGGCATAACAGAGATTAAGGTGGGGTGAAACCATGCGAGATGACTAGGAGAGGTGTTTAAATGATGAGTAGGTATCCTAAGGGGAAACTACATTTATTTACCGAGCATTTATTGCTGTGGAGAACATCACTCGTGGGGTGATGCTCGCGGGAGAAGGACCTTGCGGGGTGGCTGGGCTCCGCAGCTCGCCCCACCACCTCGCCCACCCCACGCTCATGTCTCCGTGGCTCTGGAGAAGTCTCTCCACAGTCTGTGGAGGTGTGATGCTTGCATTTAGAAGCCCACAGCCATCCATGCCGAGAGCTGCTGCCACGCCAGGCACTGTTAGAGGGACAGCAACAGCACGCGGTGGCACAACCGCTGTTGCCCACGCTTCACCAAGCACCACGTTTTCCTGCCCCAAACCAGCATTTACTGAACAAACAGCAAACGCTTATTTTGACAGATTTCTTTCGGCAGTCCTGTACTTAGGAAGGGCTTGTGCTCACTGGGCGAACGTGCGAACTCCCGGGCTCACAAATGCAGCCGCGTGATGACAATCTCTCCAATGAATTAAAATAATTACTTTCCTAATTCGCCCCTAGACTCTGCTAAACCTTCTGGGGTCTTGAGGAAGGCATGAAGTTTTTTCACTACTTCTGCTTATGTAGGCAGACATTTTAATTTAGAAAATGAATAATTCTGTATTTAATCCGTATAAAGGAAAATTCCACTTGGGGACAGGGACGTCTCATGATGCTGCACTGGATTAACCACACTAAATGGCTCCCCAGCGTGGAGGAACAAAGCCGTGTGGGACAGCCCTCGCGCCTCTGAGCATCAGCGATTTGGGTGAATCCAAAGGTCTCCCAAGAAGGACTGAGAATACAAAGGATCCATCAAGGGGAAGATGCAAGGGCAACTGTCTTTGAGCAACCAGAAACATCAAGCCCAGCAAACTAGATTGGGCTCTGGGAAATGCAAGATCATCACTTGTGAACTGCAGCGCTTTCTTGGAGCCCAATTCACACCAAACATAGAGATCCCCGTGGAAAACTGATGGTTTATCTGGCTGGGGCAAACAGAGGAGGACCAGCAAGATTTGTTGCTGAATGGTGGGGCTGGGTTGTGTTTTAACGCTTGAACCTTCCCAGCAGCAAACCTGTCATGTAGCACTTACTTACAAACTGGGTTTTAAAATGAGAAAACAAATGCTTGAGGGTAATATAAAAACTAAGGGTAAATGCAACTCTGGCTACAAGAAGATGCCCTGGTTTTAACACTTAGCAAATTAGGAGTCAGTGACACTAGATATACGTTACTTGCTTATCTGAATGAGCTGGAGAAGAAATAATCCTGTTCGAGTGTTGGCTGGATATGCTCCTGCAGTGAGGTCCCAGGCGATGGATGTCAGAATTGACGCAAATAGTGGCGCTGTGCCAGGACTTGGACCCTACTTTGGAGCAGTTTATAAATAAAAATAAAACATATAAATAAAAAATAATAACAAAGAGGTGCAACATTCATTACACTGTATGCTACAAATGAGGTTAAAAGTGCGTATATTCTATTTGTTTTAATTACAGTAAGACAAAACAAGCTCAAATATACCAAGAATCCCTGGAGGGTTTTGTTCTGCAGAAACGAAAATTTCAGAAAGTTTTCAAATAACAGAATAGAAGTAAAGTTTGGACAAAGCTCTTTCTCCTGCGAGGTGACAAGCTCGAGCCTTGCACAGGAACGCGCGAGGGAGCACAGCCTTTTCCTTCCCTGCCCTCCGTTTTCAATCAGAGTGATGCTCTCACCCTGGCAGCTGTCGAAGACCAAAATGCCAAAGCATCGTATGAAATTTTAAAACCTCAAAATAAGGTTTATACATACATAATAAAAAAGCAGCTAAACCACCATTTTCTTGCCAAAATGAAATATAAGCCAACTACTTTGCTATGGTGCAGTAGTGCCATTAATTTCAGCTACATCACTTTACGCTGGTTTGGGATCTCGCCTTTCACTGAAATAACTTGCACTTCTGGCCATAATTCCCCCTAAATCCTGTGCCTAATATTTCCTATGGGAAGGTTTTAGGTAGATTTCCACTCGATGCTGCGCTGAAGTTCTCCCAGTTGCTCTTCAGACCTCCAGTCTACGGGATGGCGCGGGAAATGTGGGTGCCTGAGCCACCCCAACAGCCCGGACACCCCAGGGCTGGAATGCCTCCAGCCTAACACACGAGATTTAAGCAACACTTTGCCAGCGGCCATTGAGAAACATCAACCTGCTTGTGTCTAAGCCTGCTGAGGTATAGTCGAGAAAGATGGCTATTTCCCATTACAGCCTGGTTAAAAGTGATATCCAGCAATGAGAGATATCAATCAGTAAATATTGAATCAAGGCAAAGTTTATATTTTTCTAATGATGGCTATTTCTTGGAAATTTACACAAATCTTTTACGCCTGCTGGCACTTAGGCCAGTAAATCTATAATTAAATGATACAGTCAAATACACAAACTTTTGCAGCCTACCTAAACCAAAAAAATACGTATTTTTTTTTTCTCTTAGTTCTACTCTATTTTCTTTTTCCGCTCTCAAGTCCAGCCCTGGATTTATCCCCCAGGCAGAACTGCTGTTTGCTCAGCGGGATGAGCTGAAAGAAGAGGACTTTGGAGAGATTCTTAGTTATGCAGGGAAGAATTAAAAAAAACAAAAACAAAAACCAAACAAAACCAAAAAAACAAAGAAAGGAAAATATCCCAATTCTCTATGTTACATTATCGGTTATATAACCAATCTCCCCGGTTATATTCACGCTCCTATAAATAGAGAATTGCCCTGAAAGAGTGGCCTAAAAAATGAACGACTAACGGAGTCAGGACGGGGCGACCATCAGTGCTGGGGTGGGAGCGGGCGCAGGGGCGGGGACGAGGACATCTGGTCGTAGTCGGGACACTTGAGCAGAGCCGGGTAGTTACTGTTCATCTGCAGGGACGCCTCGCTGGAGATATCCGAGGGGCTGCGTCCCCGCGCCCACGCGTCTGGGTGCAAGAACTGCCCCAAAAAGAGTAGTCCGAGCAGTTGCTCAGACGGGGCCGGTAGAAGCCGGGGTGAGGTCGGTAGATGTCCTCGGCCGTGTATCGCTTCATGAAGAGGTAGACGGACATCACCCCAGCGCTCTGCAGGGGAGAGAGACACGGCCTGACCCTCACCCTGCTAACGGCTGCCTTCTCCACCACCACCAAAACAGAACAGAAACATAAATTGGTTTTTTTTTGCTCTGCTGACGATGCACCAGGACTCCCAAGGACAGCCACTTCAGTGCCCTGGGCCTCGGATCCATGCAGCGAAGAACATGGCACAACCACGTCTCCTCCTCCTCTGCCTTTCATGCTCTGCATCAAATCATGACCAAGTGCCCCATCAGTGCTCCAGCCTTGGGGTCTGTCCCCACTGTACATCTCCCACGATACTGTACGTTACTCATCTGCCCTCACAGCCTACCCTTAAACCCTGCTCACAGCCACTATGCCCGCCCCCCCCCAATGGGATACACTCGTTACAGGGATGCGAGAGCTGCCGGGTACCTCCGTGAGAAGGAATGAGATGGCAGAGAAGGCAAACGACCATCCGTATTTGTAATTGAAGAATGTTTCTGAGTCCTTGGTCCTGTTCAGCATCTCGTCATTAATGCTGGATATGTAGAGGACCAGCCCCACCACCAGAGACAGACCTGGGGAGAAGCCAAGGAGGAGAGTAGAAACGCTTCAGGGATGAAGCCACTGAAGAAGCACCTTCCTTTAAGAAACGACTTGTGGGTGAAAGTGTAAAAGTGTGGAACTGCGCTTGAAATAACTGGGGAAAGAAGCTGCTTTCAAACCCCGGGCACTCCTCTCACTTCACTCAAACCTTTACCTGCTCAAGCAAGTCCTTGTGCCACCGGGTAGGAGCTGGCTTCAAAGCTCGGCTGTCACAGCTATTTGTTTAACACTAGCACAACACCATGAATAAAACATTCACTTGTCTCATGTAGAAACATCCTGGCTGAGCAGTCTGAAGTTTCAGATCTCCCCTGGGACCGACGTGCCATGAGAGGCATCCCCTTACCCACCACCCCGGTACCTGCTCCTGTAGGGCTGGTGGGGGCTTTTCCCCCCCATCTCCTCGCCACTGCCACAAAGGAGCCTTGCACAGGGTGATTTTCCATCCTGCAAATCTAAGCCGGCTGTGGTGCTGAGCCAGGAGCCCCCAGGGGTGCTGAGTCCAAGGAGGAGCCACCACAGCGGGTCAGGAGAGCACCAGCAGATGCAAAAGCAAATGTGCTCCATGCTCAGGGACTTTCAAGAGAAAACTTGGCTAGCAAAACTCACCCGACAGGATGAAGAATATCCCCGAGACGAAGGCAAGGATGGTCCTGTGAGGCCGAATGTGGCCGATGTTGCTGAGGATGAAGCCGATGAACATGAAGAAGAGGCTGACCAGAGGGAAGGGGGTGGCAGAGCGGATCATCTCTGGTGGCAGAGGAAAGCAAGAACAGGTCAGTCCTCCCCACACAGCCCGAGAAATGGGCTCAGCTGGGTGAGATGGCTCCGGCCCTGATGCTCGCTGACCACGTCGTGTCCTTCCTCGCTCCTGGTTAATGCGGGGGCCCCCGTGCTGCTCCCCAGCCCCTGGCTGGGGTTCCCCTCTTTGCTAATGAGCTGAGTAAAGAGGTGACTGTCTGGCCGCAGAAACGTCTGCTAATGGTCGCTTTTCTGAGGGTTTCTACATGAAGCGTTACATAGGAAAAAAAAACATCGGAACCTGCATTTTTCTCTGGCTTCACTGGAAAACTGTTTGCTGAACACTTCTATTTATTAAATCAGAAACGACTGCAGAAGTCGCCGCGAGAGCTGTGACACTCCATCCTTAATTCATCCCACTATGCAATGTGTAAAATTGACTGCCACAGAATAAATAGAGCTGCAAATTACAGGGAGGAGAGTATAAAGCCAAACACTTCCATAAACATCAGCGCTGAATAGCCAGTGACAGGACATTGTACAGCTCAGAGCCCCTGGGAGCATCTTGCCATCAGAAAAGGATGTCCCCAAAAGCTTAAGAGCACACTGGGCAATTCACGTGGTAGAAAATGTAGTGGCATCCTTGTATGGTAGCACTGTCAAGGAACTAGGAGTTTCTGCGGCAAGGACACAAAGAGCATTTCTTGGGGGGGATCCCTAGTGACCCTTTGGTGCTTTGCAGGACGCAGAGGGTAGGACCCCACTGAACCACTTACTCAGGACATTGACTGTGGATTCAGATGTCAGCTGGATGTTCATCGGCATGACGTATTCGATAGTGAAGCACCGGCCACGCTCTTCACCTGCAGCAGACACAGACCCAGTCACACCTGCGGTGTGTTTGTCTGTTTATCTTTGGTGGGGGAGAGAGTGGCTTTAAAACTAATTTCAGTGCATGCATAAAAACGATCTTGCTTTTTAATGCTGCTTCCATCTTGGGTGTCAGTGTTTGGGGCTGAAGAAAGATATCTCTTAACTACCATCTCTCAACTACCATCTCTCTTGTGCGAAAGGATTCCCTTGTATACAAAACCACGAACCCTGAAGTCGCAGGGTTTAAGGTCACCCCAGGGGCCGTATCAGAGCTCCTCACTCCCCTGACTTTTTCAAAGCAGCATTTGAAACTTGGTGACATTTCAGATCGGTCACTTTGAGATTCTCATTCCGTTGGGTTTTGTTCAACTCTGTCTCTGCAGCCAAATTGCTTCATCAAACTTGGCGCAGATGGAGGGAATGGTCCAGCTGACCTGAATCTAAATTTTGCAGGGACAAAAAGGAAAGTTTTGAGCTGCCGCCCAAGGCGCTGTGGCCGTGGTGCTGGGATGGAGCGGGGTCTGGCAGGGCAGCAGCAAACTCACCCAAAGCCTGCGTGCAAAGGCACATTTATCCATCTGACTATTAAAGTTGGGCATGGGACGATGGCATTACTTGCCAAAGGTTGTGCCCTAGTTTGGAAGCAAAGATGGGCAGAGGCTCTAAAAATCCCATTTTCCCTGGTACCTTTCCCACTATACAACACTGACATGCAGCAAACATCACCTTAGCAGGGGACATTTTTGGGAGGGGGCCCATACCTGCCAGAAAGCAGACCCTCCAGAGCCCCGAGTGCAGTGACAGTTTGATTTCTGCCGTCTGGTTTTGGGGCTGGACGATGCCCTCCTCCAGGTAGAGCCAGTAGTCGGTGCTGACGGAGATGCCCAGGAGGCCGAGGCCGCAGACGGCAAACACGCTGCTGAGCAGGGTCAGCGCCTTCCTCCCACAGGCGCTCATTCCCAACAGCATACGGGGCCGAGGCGGCGGCGGGGACGGAGGAGAAGGGATGCAGCCGTCAGCACGGAGCCGTCTACCGCTTTTTGGGAGGAACGGATGTGTCCAAAGCTTTGCCCTCTGCCCTTAATTGCTTATATAGGTCGAGCTGAAACAAACCATTAAAACAATCACAGCGGGCCCTGACAGATGGAGAGTTTGAACCAAATCCCACCCGACTGCTGCCCCACGCCGGCCCAGGGCTCGCGGATGTGCTGAGCGCCAGGTGCTGGCACTGGGGCGGGAGCGGGACGGGATGGGCTGGCTGGGAGGAGCGCATCGGCTCCCG